CTGTTCTCACCTCGTGTAAGTGAAGATGTAGACACCCGGGTGCATTCTGATAAGCGTTGCATGGGCTTGCTCACGAGCAGGAGTAGAAAGGAAGGTGGGGGAAGGAGTGAATGAGGGAGGAGCAGGGACGAGAGAGAGGATAAGAAACATAAACAAAAACAGAAGGAAACAGAAAGTGTTACCTGCTGAATATGTATGTTTTGTTTGTTTGTTTGTTTTGTTCTTTGGGATAAGTGTGAGTGCTGCTACTTGGTAGCAGGTTTGACAGGTCTCCTTCACTAACATGCTGTCATTTCCTTTAGGCACCTGACAAAGACATGAACAACATAGACCCTATCAGGTAAGCTTCTCCCTCTCTCTCCCTCTCTCTCCCTCTCTCTTTCTGCACATTTCTTTCAGTGCTCCATCTTCACACCCCCGCATTCTCACTGTCTTCTTCCTCTAAGCTCCTTCCCTCCCACTCTCTGTCTTTCTACTCTTGCACAGTCTCTCATTCCCTCACTCCCCCGTCTTCCCTCCTGGCTCAGCTGCTGCTGTTGTTGCTGTTGGAGTAGCGTGTTGGAGGTGGCGGCAGTGGCGTGCATGTGTCGGGGTTTCTCCAAGATTTACGGGAGAGCTGGGTAAGCCAATCCAGATAACATATTGAAGGGAGGCTTTCTTCGTTCCCCGTGAGACTCAGGCAGTAGGATTTTATCTCTCCGTCTCCAGGATGAAACTGTGTGTTAGCAGAAGGTACTGCTTCACCATTTGCATCTTTGATTTGGATTACAAAGCTGGCTCAGTTGTGCCCGTGCTGCTGTGTGTCAGAATGCGTGTGCATGTGTATGTGATGTTGCTGAACTCATAGTGCCAGTTGATGCTCTCAGTGTGCTGGTGCAGTGCTGTTAGGAGTGATCATCTCTTCTGCTAGTTTGTCAAAGATAAAAGGGTGGTTTATTTTTGCTAAACCATGTTGGTGGCTGTATGCAAGGACTGTCGTGGCTTGGAATTCACTGCAGTGTATGTGGTGCTACTGTAAAAGCTTTTTTCTCAGACAAAAGAGGGATATTTAGTTAGCCTGGAATGTGTTGAGGCTGTAAAACTGTTCATCCATTACACTTATGTACTGTATTTGTTTCTGCGTGATTTTGGACAGTCACCTGTCAGAATGCACCTATAATTTGACTCTGCATGTTAGTACTCCTTCACCACTCTAAGCATCTGATTAGTGATTTTAATGCACTTGAATATATAGAAATGGGTCAAAGTGTTAATGCAAAGTCTAGGTGACAACCGAACTGATACCTGGATAAACAGATTTCCACCCACTTTTCTGTTTAAGGTTGCATTACATGGGAATTAAAGCAACAAAGCAAACAGGATGAGATGCAGGAGAGGGTTGTTGCAGCTTTCCCTCCTCTCTCTCCTTTTTACCTTACTGTCCTACAGTAGCCATGTTTTAATTAATGCAATTACTAATGAACCATTATTAATCCTGCACAGATGGAAATAGATCCCAGGCTTTTCCCTTTGTGTTCGATTACCAGTGGTATTATTACAATTTCAGGCGGATTACAGTTTAAAAGCTGTTTAACCAGACGATGAGGGGTAATTAGTCTGACGGGGTGTTTCTGCAATATGAGACATCAGTTGGCCTCACCTTGGTGTCATAGTTTTAATTGAATTATAGCAGGTCTGCTTAGATAAGAAGAGGTAGTTCTGCACCTTTTCTCCTTGATCTCTGCTGAACAGGCATCAAGAGAGCAGAGAGACTGTGTGGCCTCTGTGTCGAGGTCAAACAGGAAGCTGGATCTACCTGAGATTCTGACCCTACCTCTACATCTCTGTCACCGCCTTCTAGTCTAAATGATGCAATATCCTGAAATCTCTCTGCACGCTTGCACTTTCTCTTTTTCTCCTTTAGAATTTCTGTCCCTCCTTTGGCCAGGCCCCTGAGTCCCGGCCCTGGGACAACAATAGAGGTGTAAACTTTACACAAAGACCCTTTTTAATGTGTTTTAAAGCCAAACATCAATCTTTTGCTGAAACTATTAAGTGGTTTATTTTAAACATTAGATTGACACCACCTGCGAAAGGGACAACTGTTCTTCTAGGATGACTGACAACCCAAAACTGAACAAAAATCATCATGCTGCTGTTTGTCCTTGGCAAGAAAGCAAGAGTTTGACATATTATTGAAATGTTGAGTGAAGCAATTCAGGTTGTTTTTACACAAAACTTCATTATGGAAATCAACAAGCATATTGTCACTGAATGCAATATCAAAATAATACAGTTAAAACAACCCTTATCAAACAGGAAGAAATGATTATTAAAGGGTTTTGTATATCAAGTTAAAAGTAATATTAATAACTTGAGATTTGACCAGGTAACAAGTTGGCCTAAACACATCTTCTGTTATTACTTGCGTGTACAGATGGGTGACAAATTACCAATGAAAGGAAAACTAACGAGTCGTTTCAATGCTCACTGACATAGGTTATTTATACGTTAATCTCTGAAACTCTACTGCAGTAATAAATATCATTATTTCAAACGATATTCCCGCATTTGGTGTTGTGATGATGGTAGAGAAGAGCACTATCTAACCTGTCATGTAAAAAATCTTCCATGTGTTTAGTTGGGCTGAGAGCTGTGAAGGCCATGTGGTGCATGATTCACATTGTTTTCATAATCATTACACCAGTGTTTTGAGTGAAAGCATCAGCTTTTATTATGTTTTTCCATTCATTTGTTTTCCAGGCGTTTTCGCTTTTAAAGGAATTGTATGACATTATTATTACCCTTTTAAAAATTCCCCTCCGGTATAGTAGCCATTAAGGGTGTTTTTAGGAGAATATTTGTTCAGTTAAATGAAGCTTTCATTTATTTTTGTTTTATTAGTGCCCACTGATTAAGGCAGCAGAAATTTGTAGTAATATGTGAGAAACAGCAACACAAGAAGATGCTGCCATCTTGATGATGTCTCTGCCAGCCATCCCATGTGACACAAACGTGACATAAGCTCCAGTAAAACAGCAACTTGCTGTTTTTACTTTGCTGCTTCTGTACAGATTAAACAAGTGAGATCTGTAGCTATTAGCAATGAGTATTGAGTTTTGTTAACTTTGTACAGATCCAGGCTAGCTGTTTCCCCCTCTTTCCAGTGTTTATGCCAGGCTAAGCTAACCAGCTACTTGCAGTAGCTTCAAATTTAATAGACAGACCAGGGAGTCGTATTAGTCTACTTCCCAGAATATCAAACTGATCCTTTAACCTCAACTTAACTTCAAGTTTTTTTCCTATTCAAGTTTACTATGTACCCAATAGTTAATTTGATTTCATATACAAATCAGAAATATTAAAAACTTCACTACCGTACAGCCCCTGATGCATCAGGTATCCACTGAAACACGCGGTGATAGAGAAGAGCAATATGTATTTGTGTGTGGGGGAGAGCGGCTGGTCTGAAGAGGCTAGAGGTTAAAGCATTAGTCAGACCAGCTCTGCTTAAGTGGACAGTGTTGGGCTGACTAATGGTGCTCTCCTCTGTCCTCTGTGGTCTGAACAGTCAGCCTCTCTCTCCCACACCGTCTGGACATCTCTCTCTGTTGAAGCACCAACAGCTCCTCTGGGGGTCATTATATGTATTTTATCATGTCAACTTCATTATCCCTCCTCTCCTTTGCCCTCCTCAGCACCAGCGGTCAGATTGTAGGTCAGACTTATTGCACATAATGCTGAAGCAGTCAGCCATATAAATGCCTGTGTAGCTGAAAGTTACGTCAAAAGATAATATTCTTGTATCTGTATGCTAAACGTAAAGCTAGCATTATAAGCCGCTATAAAACCAAAACGGTGTGGAGATTTTGTTACTTTTGGACAGAGGCAACAGTAAAACAAGTGTCTAGCTGTTACCCCTTCATTTTACAATTTTAGCCAGGCAAACCTTTTAGATGCAGAATCACAGTGACCTTCCTAAAGAGCAGTATCAAAGAGTGAGTGAATTTTAAAATGAACAAAGCACAAAATCATGCTTTTATAAGTGAAAACTTTGTTGCCTGTGATAATCCCAAGATGGAGGTCACAGCTTGTATATCTATTTTTAAATGCCACTGCATTAACGGCACTATGCTGGAGAGCTGTTAGTGCTATATGTGTTCTCAGTATAGCCTCCTTTTTTTTTTTTAGCGCACCCTTCATGTATCCTGGAGTTGAGGCTTTTTAGGCTCCCTCTTGAGAGTCATGGATGGTCCAGTAAGTACATCGGAGCCTCCCGTGACATGTGTATAGGAGCGTGAGGCAAATACTTAGGGACCATACACATACACAGATGTATGGAAACTGAGAACACAGAGCAACACTCGACAGGCTTGCAGATTTGCAGAGGTGGTTCCTTTGTTATGTCTAATCACTACCTGTCCATTCGAGCTCCACTTGTAAACAGTGTGATGGTGGGTGGTGTATGTGTGCGTTTGTGTCTGTTCTATTTTTAATGAGCTGAACCCTTTTGAATGCTGCTTGTTCTTCTCCATCCCATCTCTTTTTGGTTGTGGCTGAAAAACTCCTGCCCTTATTTTTGTGTTAAAAACATAAGCTAAATGCCATAACATTTAGTAACTCATTTTATTTAGAGCAGTTGTATTGTTTAACCAGGAAGTTAGAAACCAGGGGGAGACTAAATTAAAGAGAGTGGGACGAGAGGGATTTGGTGGGTTTTTAACTCTCACGTATATTGAAAAATTTAAATGTAAATGAAAATCAGAACCACTGATTCATATACACACTTTAATCACAGACAACTTCAGACTTTTGAGTTTCAGGTTTCTGGAGCTTCAGTATGACTATTTGGATTCTGGGTTGGAGGAAGAGGAGGTCACAGTCAGCTCTTGGTAGGATTCACTGGCACAGTACCATGATTTTCCCTTCTCGGGGCTGATGATGTACTTGTGTATGTATGTGTGTCTGTACATGCTCTTATAGCTGATGAATGTGGCACTCTCATTACTTCAGTGAGGCCGATGTGTTGCCACGGTGTGGTTGCCAAATGTTGACACAGATGTATCTGGTAGTGATGTGCGATACCACCTTTTTCCTCTCTGATCAGATACCAATTAAAACCCAGGCTGGTACTGCAGATACCAATACTGATATTGATACAATAAAATTAAGGGAAATAGGTGGGCCCACACAAGAAGAGGTGACAGACAAGAGTCTAACAACAAATAGTGCCACCCTAGTCACAGTGGAAATGTAGCTAATACCAGGAATCTCTGCAGCTCAGATACTGAACTGTAGCCAGAAGGACTACATACATACAGGGACCCTTTACATGCCTTTTTCCAGCAACAGCATATGACATCTACTCTGTTACAGTGAGACTCCAGACTAAATGTATTTTTTATTCTGATTCTCTCAGTCATTTAAGGAGCTATAGTTTGCTTATGACTGTGACAGTTGGAAGAAGGAGTAGTTCCCATCAACTGAATATTTTTTAGACTGTCCTGGTGATAGTGTATACTTTCTCCTGCATCCCCCTGTTGAAGATAAAATATGCATCCAGCTTGTCTATTGAAAGCTTTCTAGCTTTATAAAACCCCCATCTCATTAACTGCTTTGCAGTGTTTAGTCATTTCTCATGTAACTCTCCTCAAGAAAGCACATACATATTTCCAAAATGTCAGACTATTTCTTTAAAACACATACATACTCAAACTGACCTTCTGGGATTATATTTGATCTTCTCACTGTTACATGTAGCCAAGTACAGTGCCATTTTCAGTCTGTCTGCTTAAAAGTTGCTCTGGTGTCAGCGTTGGCCTTGATCCGCTACTTGCGTTGGCTTTGGGGGTTTCAGCAGCACAGAACTGTGTATATTTGTATGTTTGTATTTGAAGCTCAGTTAGCCTCCATCACCTCTTTTGCTCACCCTAAAATCCCCTCGGGATGGTTGTCGTGATTATACCCTCCCCTGTGCTGAGTGCCATGAAATACAGCATGTCATTATCCCCTGCTGCTGCTAATGATGTTGGTAGTTGTGTGGAACTGCTTAGGTGTCTGCTCCTGAGTTAATCAGTGCCGGACAGAATGACAGACATAAACCCACACGCACACACTCACAGAATAGAACCCTAATGTGAGAGTTGATTTTTTTTTTTCTTCTGTGAGGCGGTTGAGTCATACTGTACATGTCACTGAGCTGATTGACTGCTGCGGGTTAGCTACCTTGTTAATCTGAAGACACATGGGACAGAAAGGGTGTCTTCTTTCTCTGCTGCTGTTGGATGAGTCAGCCACTCGGGTTTCCGTCGCTCTAATGCTGAGGTCTGGGCCAACCATAAGGGCTTTTCCTGAGTGCCAGTCTATTTGCATGGTACATGTGATCAGGAAGGCAGAAAGGGAGAAACAGATAGAAAAGACAGGAAAACGAAGAGGAAGGAGAAAGAAACATGATGTCTTTCAGTGATGATTTCACACACACTCTCTTTGCTTTTCATCTCTAGTTTGGCAATGGCTTTTCCCCTTTTCCTGCTAACGACTCTGGCTAGCGCTCTTTGCTTTTCCCTCTTCCTCATTTCCCAACTTTAATGTCCTCCTCCTCCTCTACCACCACCCCCTTCCTCTCCCTTTCAATGCTCTCAAATGTCAGTGTGGCACGAGTGGGTGGCAGGCAGCACCATGTGAACAAGCCCCGTCTATGGTTTTGCTGCAGTGTGAGGATCGGCAAAGGAAAGAAGAAGCAAGTGAATGAGTGCTGTTGGCAGTTTGACAGTGGACACCTGACCTGGCCTGAGATGTGTCAGTAACCTCTGTTCTTTTTTAACTCTTATGGTAGATGGTGTTGGTTTATTTCATTACTGGGCAAAGAGGACAGAATGTGCAGAGCTGATGCTGCAGCACAATATATGCACAAAAACAAACACACTCATGCAAAAGTACATGCACATAAAGACACACAAGCACGCACCTACACCTATAAACTCACACAAGCTGAAAGACATTCCAACGCCCACCGAATCACACACAAAGACACATACATAAACACACATAACCAAAACCAGTGTGCTATGACTCAGAGGGGAGCAGCTGGAGTGAAGGCTCCAGTGGCGCTGGTGAGCTGTCACCATCTGGAGGAGTGTGTCTCCCTGCCTCCTCAGCCAGCAACATAAATCACTGGCCAACAACTGGGTGTCAGTAGATCAATATGTTTCTCTTCTGATTTTTACACATGTATGTACCACATCTGTGGCTACAGCATCCTAAACATGATGCTTCCCCCGACTACTGCAGTCACACTCATAGCTTGATATTGTTTTCTTTCCAAGCGGACAGTCCAGCGGTCGGATTGGAGGAGCTTTGATCAAGCTTTGACAGGTTGTCTTACTTAATAACCTACACCATTCGTCTGTGGACTGACAGCTGCACCTGTGCTGCAGATGCCGTGAAAATGCAGGGGACTAGGAGTATGGAAGAAATGCTTCAGAGTAGAAGAAGCCTCAGTCTATCAGCCTTGTCAAGCTCTTTTCATTTAGATTGTGTGGATGTGTCAGTTCATGTTCTCTGTGTTTGGTCATGTAGGACATGAAGATGCTGGGTCTGCAAAAAGAAAACAAAAGTTAGAGGAGTGTTTCCTTTGAATGAAGTCTGAACTATTCCTATCACAAAGGCCATTCATCCACCACTAGTGACACAAAACAGGTTTATGTCTAAGTTTCTTCCATCCATCCATCCATTTTCCTCCGCTTATCCGGGACCGGGTCGCAGGGGCAGCAGTCTAAGCAAAGATGCCCAGACTTCCCTCTCTCCAGACACTTCCTCCAGCTCCTCCGGGGGAATGCCGCGGCGTTCCCAGGCCAGCCGAGAGACATAGTCCCTCCAGCGTGTCCTGGTTCTTCCCCGGGGCCTCCTCCCGGTGGGACATGCCCGGAACACCTCCCTAGGAAGGCGCCCAGGAGGCATCCGAAATAGATGCCCGAGCCACCTCAGCTGGTTCCTCTTGATGTGGAGGAGCAGCGGTTCTACTCTGAGCTCCTCCCGGGTGACTGAGC